TGATGGGTTTTCCTTTGAATGTGATCTGCTTCTTTTCTCTAGCGGCTTTCAGTAGATTATTCTTGTGCTGAATTTCGGGGATCTTGACTATTATATGTCTGGATGTGTTTTTCAATGGGTTGAGGTTCCTTGGCTTTCTGTGCTTCAGTTACCTGAATGCCAGATTGTTTCCTCATATTTGGGAAGTTTTCTTCTATTACTTCTGCCCATATTTTTGTAATGTCATTTGTATTGACTCCTTTTTTTTAATTGACACCTATTACTCTCACATTGTTCATCTTTGCATCATCTTGCAGGTGATACATTATTCTTTTCTGCATCCTTGTTTTTAAGAGATCCTTTCTTACCTTTTCACTAGCTGCACCAGTATCTTCAAGATCTGAAACTCTGTCTTCACATTCACTTACACGGTTTTGAAACCTTGTGATTGAGATTTTAATTTCCTCTATATCTCTTTGACTCTGCTTCATGCAATCTATTTCTTTCCTGTATTGCTCATTCAAGGATTCTGTCATTTTTCTAATCTCCTCTATTTTTTTTATCAATATCTTCTTTAGAAGCAGTTATAAATTGTTTTACTGCAGTATTTTTTTCCAATTGGGTTTCCTCCCTGTGTTTCTGTTGTTGCCTCTTTACTTCAGGTACTAGGAGTTCTGAGAGTTCTTTTTTTATTTCAGAAAAGAATTGCCCTCTGATTTCCTCTATATGTTTCTGCTGTTGCTTATTTACTATCGATGCTATTAATTCATGCATTTGAGCTGAGCTGGTGTCCTCCGCACTTGTTGTGGGTGGGCACTGGGTTTCCTCCATATATTTCTGCATTTGATTCTTTAGTGCAGATGTTATTAATTCAGGGATTTCTTTTTTATTTCCAATGTGAGGTCCTCTATACCTTTCTGCAGCTGTTTCTTTATTTCAGAAGCCATTGATTCATTGCTTTCAGCTGTGTGATTTCCAATTTGTTCTGTGTTAGTGTCTTCTGCACTTGTTACGGGTGGGCTTGGCTTCTGAGACTGCATTTTTTTCCTACTTGTCATTTGTGTAGCACTCTCTTCTGACTGTTGTTGTAGATCTTTGTTGTAGTTATGACCTTCACACGTAGTGAAGTTCAGGTGCAGCTCTACAAAGTTTGGACTTATCCAGCTGTGCCTGGCTTGGTTCTGGCTGCTGTGCTCAGCTACTTCCTGCTGCTGCCCTTGAGGGTGAACCTGTCTTGCCCCTGTGGCAAGATGTTCTGCTCCTGGACTAATTGGTTGGATCTATCCTCTACACTCTCTGCAGGGATTGCAGCTGCAGGGTTACTCCCCAGGCATGTATTCCAGACTTGAGCTGTGCCTGGAGGGGGCAAGGTGGATTAGGGGATAGAGGAAGCTCTCCATCACACCCACTGGTTCTGGGTTAGGCTGGATCTGAGGCTTCCCAGAATGCTGCAGAAATTCCTACCTGCTGGGTGGGGTGGGTGATGTACTGCAGAGTGTTCGGGGGCGTCCCAAGGGGATGGGTGAGGGTCTGGCCCATGCTGCCCCTAGGCTGGGACTGGTCCCACTGGCACAGGGTAGCAGGAAGCTCCCATATGATTATCTTTTTGAATGGAAGTGAATTACTTGAAATCCTATTCATGGTTTTCACTACTGAAGCATGAGATTGAATATATGATCTCATATACTGTTATGCTGCATCAGTGGCATGATGCAAATGTTTTTATTTTATCATTATTTTTAAAAATAATTTTATTGAGAAACAAATAGCAATGAGACAGTTTTAAAACTGATTAGTAGGACAGTTTCAATAATTAATACATTTCATATTGTTGTCTTCTTAGTAGTTAATAGTACAAGAATTACATTCAAAAGAGAAGCAGAGCAGAACAATTAGGAAGAATTGAAACCTAGTCTTGGAAAGAACAACAACAAAAAAGTACATAAGGTGGTGTTCCAGCAACTGTTTTTAGAGATTATTATGGATAAGTTGGTGCTGGGCATCAGGACAATGGGACAAAGGTATTGATAGCATCTCAGAAATCTTCAAAGCTGTCCCTCCCATGAGGGACCTAGAAGATTAGGATGGCAGAATGTTCTCAGGGAATGAATGTGGAGTCATTTCCATGGGTTTGTTACTGAGGCTTACCTCAGGACTTTTATGTATACAACCTAGAGCAATGCTCTATCAAGTCAGGTCAGGTTCAAGTGAACCACTCAAGCCCCATTCCCCAGAAGGAGTATTACATACTTCAGTTTTATCCATGTGGTGCTAATTCTGAAGTCTTGCAAAATGAAAAGGTTATGGAATCATGGTGATTTCCAAGGAAATCCAGAAAATTGTTACTGAGGTGAAGATGTCAAGAAATTGCCACTTGGAACAGGCATTATGGAGCTGTGAGAATGGTACCCCACTCAAGACCTTATAAATATAAAGCAATGGGCAGTATGAAATATCAACCTCAAAAATCTGAATTCAAAGCCAAGAGCTTAGTCCATCAGGATAAAGCAGGCAAAGCTGGCAGCAATAGCTTCACAAACCTGATATCAACATCGTTGTCCCTAAAACTTTTAAAATTAATATCTAATCTTTTGTGTCTCAGTATTGTTGGGGGCCTGTCATCCTTAGGAATGGGAATATTTATTATAATTCCTACCCTGTCGTTCTTTTTAGAAGTAGGTAAGTTTTTTGTTTTATGGTGCTGTGAGGAGTATTCTTTGAGACTCACATTGTGATTTTGGCCTTGAATTTTTAGCTAATGATGGTGAAGCAACACTTTGGAAGTACTACCATGGAGTGAATGTCATTTGTATTATAAATAAGTAGGAACTTTGGGAGTGAGGCACAGATTCTATTATTTGAATACCCTTGTGCCTCAGTACTCCATGTACTGGAAATTCAATCTCCAGTATAGTGGTTCTGAGTTTGAGAGTTCCTTTAGAAGTGGCGTTTATTGGAAAGTAGTTGTGCTATGGGGAATCTATCCTCATGAAAGGATTAATGTAGTTCCCAAAGAACAGATGTAGTTCTTTGAAGAGTAAGTTGCTGCAAAGCAAGGATATCCCACATGCTTAGCAACCTCTATGTGCAATAATTTTTGTAGTACAGCAGTGGTCTTATTAAGAGCCCAGGATATTCTGGCACTACGTTGCTTAATTCACCAAAGAATAAACACAAAATGGTGTTTTCTTTGTAAAGAACTTAGCCTCACACATTTTGTACAACAATAGGAAATTAATTAAGAAATCTAAAGGAACCAATACATTCACCAATTTATAAAATGAATCTTTTCCTTTTCTTTTCATTAACTATCTGGCTTCCCTTTAGCATCTTTTCGTCCAGCAACGAACAGCCCAGACATCCAGTAATTTAAGCTTTATAATTTAGACTTGCACATAGTGCTTCTTCCCTGCTCCCTTCACCTTCTACTCACTGTCAAGTCTGTCATCTCTATCCCAGAGCAACTTCCATTCTGTTCTCTCTCCTTCCTACAGAATCATCAATTATTTTGTAAAATCTTTAATTCCTGCCTTTCACATCTCACCTGTGCAAGTCTATTCTGCCCTCAGCTGAATGGAACTTCTCACAACACGAATCTGTTGTTTAATTTTGAGTGCTGGAAAGACTATATTGCCTGTGGGATCATACAAGCCACATCTATACATCTAGGATGCATAAGCCACTCACAATTGAACCCCAGCTACATCTACAGATCCACTTTCATCTCCCACTATTTCCCCTTATAAACTTATCTACTTTAACTATAAACTTATCTGATATCTAAATATTCCAAGTTTATCCATGATTTTTAGCTCTGATACTGATAGAGACTTTTCTACCTACTTAAGTGACCTAATTCTCTAAGGATGAAATAAGGTAACTTTGGAAAAGCTTTCCTAGAAGCACTCTAGTGGTTCACATACAGGTCTCCTCATGAAGCAGACTCCTTTCCACAGAGCTCATTATGAGGCCCACTATAGACTTCTCCTCTGGCTGCAGTCATATCCCACAATGGGTGCTCCTCTTGGTATGACTTAGATCTTTGTCATTTATATATTCTTATCAAACTGAGAATCCCTTTTCATAATTGAAAGAAAAGTTAGTGAATAGAGGAGTTGTTGACAATATACCTGAAAGGTCCTCTTGAACACCTGTGGATACTCACCCCTGCCTTGATGTAGATGGGGACAAACACCCATCCTAGGATCACCACCATCAGCATAGCCTATAGGAAACAAGAAAAGAGTTTAAAGTCAGGCAGTTTGGCTTGTGGAATTTTTCATTCTCAGGCCACTTAGTCTTATAAAAAGTATTCTTAGAACCTATCTAATTCAAATTACTGTGAGACTTGGACAGCTAGTGAGCCCTTTATTCTGTTTCTTTTTTCTTTTTTAAAAAAATTTTATTGAGAAACAAGTATCAATGAGACACTTTCCAAGCTGATGAATAGGACATTTTCATTAATTAATACATTGCACATTTTTATCTTCTCAGCAGTCATCCACAGCACAAGAAGCAGCCAGGACATCCCGTCCAAACACTACTACTACAAGTCCTTCCTCTTACTGAACCAAGCGAAAGCAGCCGTACATCTATCCTAACCATTCTGTATGTACAAATATAAAATGGTCCTTCCTCTGTATCCCCCTCTCTCCAGTTCAGTCCTGTCGAGATGGGTTTTCTATTGGCATTTAAATATTATAGGTGATTGAATTCATCAAAACAATCCAACACAGTCCAGTAGTCCACAATAGTAGTGGGTTATCCACAGAAGTTGTTGACTAGAGCCTTTTACAGCTCAGCATATTAATATAGCTTTACTTTAGATACCTCATTCTTATACTTTTCTGCTGGATGGTTAAGATCAAGATAAAGCAAGACCTATATAACAAGAAATGTAACTTTTTTATCTGATAAGTTCAGTCAAGTCCCCGCAGGATTTATCCTGTAACCCTGTACTTTGAAAATCCTTTATTCTGTTTCTATGATACATAGGCCAATGTTTTCTGAGGCTGAGAATGTGTGGTGAAAGATGGTCATAGCATGAGAGGTCCAGTCAGGTCCAATCAGAACACTGGAAGGTCATCCATCTTTGCCTAAATGCATTCTTTTTGAATTCAAAGGATGAAAGTTTCTTTCTTTCTTTCTTTCTTTCTTTCTTTCTTTCTTTCTTTCTTTCTTTCTTTCTTTCTTCTTTCTTTCCTTCCTTCCTTCCTTCCTTCCTTCCTTCCTTCCTTCCTTCCTTCCTCCCTCCCTCCCTCCTTTCTTTCTTTCTTTCTTTCTTTCTTTCTTTCTTTCTTTCTTTCTTTCTCACTTAGCCCACCCTAGGGGACTGGCATGGAATGTAGTGCCAGGGATCAAACTGCAGTCTTTGCACACTTGCCTAAGCTTGCTTAAGCAGGCACTTTAGACCATTGAGCTAGCTCACTGGCCCTGAAAGTTTTATTCTTAAATGGATAAAATAGTCAGAAAGAAATTTGGAGATAGAAGAGTATTTCTATTGTCTATGATATCTCTCCACATTTAGCAATGATAAAATGTAAGTTATATTGATGTATATTTTTTGTGGTCTTACATGTATCAGTTAAGTTGCTCAAGAAATCATTTAATGCAGAAATTGTAGGCACAGTTATTCTTTTTATGGTGCTGAGACTGAGCAACATAAAGACTAAGGAAGGTTACACACTAAAGATAGTGCATTATCTGCACTTGATAAGCAAATGCAGTCAGGCTATGAGTCATTCTGTTTCTGACTGTAGGGAGAGTCAATAATACAAAATGAAATTCTGACCATATGAGATATCTGGAGGCTGCATGAATACTGGGAATGTTTATACTAGTAAAAGAAAATTAAAAATAGGATCTTTAAAAGATGTTGCAATTTATATTTAAATGTCTCCCTAAAGCCTCATGAGCTCATAGGTAGGAGTTTGGGAGGGGACTGGATCATGGGGCCATGATAATCAAGAGTTTAGTACTACACCAATGAATTTATAGCTAAATATATTGTTGGAAAGTGAGGCCTGGTTGGAGGAGGTCAGTCGCTACACTTATGGCTTGGATGGGTCTTTCTCCGTCATCCCTCCCCTGATCTCTCTCTGTTTCACTGCCAGGCCATAAGCAAACCTCCTTTGTCAACCCTTTTACTGTGCCACTGTGCATTGGAGCCAGCAAACTATGGAGTCAACCCTCTACAAACTGTGGACGAAAATAAACCATTCTTCCTTTAATTAATGGGTGCTGGTTATTTTGTCCTAGTGAAGAATAAGGGCCAAAGATGTTTGTGATAACTCGAAATCACTTCCATGATACATCCAGGGATAAATAATCTAACCATTCACTACAGTACAAGTTTCTTTCACACAAGCATTTTCTTCTGACCAATGTGCAAGCTTGTGTACACAAAAAATGTTAGAAAGGGAAAGATGAAAAGGAACAGAAACAACTCAGACTATCAAGGAACTATCTATAATATTTTCATCATATTCCCTGCTATGGGGCAGGTGATAGCATGGAATGTGTGGAAAATACCATATGGTTCTTATCCTGAAAGAATTTAAGGTCTGTTTAAGGGGATACAGTACCTGTGAAATGTAATATAGCAATTAATTAGGGATTCAATTACAAATTCTAGTAGGTTCTAACTACTATCTCAGAAATCACTGATCCTTGTGTTAGTGTTGGTCGCATTTTTTTTAATTGAATATAAGGTATCACTGTGTAGCTCAGACTCATAGTGCTCCTCCTGTCTCAGCCTCCCTAGTGCTGGGATTACAGTCTTGCAACACCATGTCTGGTTTTGGGGCAGCATGCCATAGCCAGGTTTCTGGGGAACAGTATGGCTTGTGATCCCAGGGTCTTTGCGCTTGCCAGACAACAGTTAGGCAGCTGCTAGAATGCTGAGCTATCTCCCCAGCTCATATTCTTCTTGAACAATTTCTGCTCATCCTCATAGCAGCAGCATGGAAGCTGAGATGGGCTTTGCCCTACCTACTATCAATAAATTTTGTTCTACTTGATCCGTCCTTACACTAAGGATGACTGTGGTGACTGCATGCACTTTAATCCTACCAAAATGTAAGCTTCTCAAAAACAGGGACCCTTGCTTTTACATTTTAAAATTCCATTTGTCTAGTTTATGTCTGGACACACACTGTTCATGGAGGAATGGTAAAACCGAAAGCTGTAATGGTCAATGAGTTCAAATAAAATTGGAGATTCAATCATAAATAAGTGACCGTATTCCAGGGCAGAGCCACTTGAGTAAAAGCTCAGAGATGATTAGCAACACATCTGGAATGGCTCTGGCAGAATGGGACTACAGAGGCACTGCAGGTGTAGGAGAATGAAAAGTATAAGCTGAACTATATAAGTATAGTCTTATAGAGGACATGAAAACCTTGGATTTGAGCTTGATTAAGATGTATTGATATGTGTTTGGTTTAAAGAAAAAATCTTTGCCATCACTCACATTCCATTCAACTGCTCCAATGGCGAGCCCAGAAGCTGCTGCTGTTCCAGCGACGCCTACAAACTGGCCACTGCCAATATTACTGGCAAAGATCGAGGCACCCATCTAGAATGCAAGAGAACACACTAGGGTTAGAGTTTTTGAAAACAGATATGGAACAGTTTTAATCACTACACTACCATGTAATAGTGTAGTCTAATTCCAATGAGCAGCAGTTAGATATCTGTGTCCTATGGTCAAAATCCAGCATATTGTCTTATTTTACATAGACCATAAAGAAAGAAGATATAAAAAATTTTTGAATGGCTATAGTGGTTTAAAAATAATGACAAATGTTAAAAAATGAAAACCTAACATGAAATGAGGTATAAATTCTTGCAACCATGCATAGTTATATTGAAACACATTCATGCCCTTTTACTTTAGATACTTTTGTGCTCCAAAGGCTGAGTTGTATAGTTGAAAAGATTGTATAGTCTATAAACCCTAATATACTTCCAGTCTTGCCTTTTAGAAAAAAAGCTTATTGGCTAGGAGTCGTGTTGCATACCTATAATCCCAGCACTGGGGAAGATTGATGAGATTTCAAGGTGAGCCTAGGCTACAATGTGAGCTCAAGACCAGTGTGAACTGCATACTGACACTGTCACACACCTACACCCACACACATACTCTCAGACAAGAAAAATGCTTATCGATCCCCATGACACTGATATATATGCCAATGTATTCTATTTAATGTATTTGGTACAGGGTCTCACTACACAGCTCAGACTTGTAGTGATCCTCCTGCTTTAAGCCTCCCCAGTGCTGGGATTATAGGCATGTGCCACCAAACCCAGTCTCTGTTGCTGGCTCAGTATGCCTGGGGGTGGGGCTGGCACAGCATGTTGTACCAGGGATTGAACCCCGGGCCCCGTGCTTGCCTAAGCAGGTGCTTAGTCCACTGAGCTATCTCACCAGCCCTCATCAATGTATTCTTTAATTGATCTGTGTTTTGCTAAGAACAGCCAGATTTTCCATCATATTTTGCTCTTTAAACCAACCTGAAGGACCTCATCTTGCAGGATAAAGGAAATCTTCTGCACCCACATAGCCATAGGATATTAATTTACCTCCTGCCCACTTCCATCATACTGTCTAATATTCTTAAGGCTCAAAGGTTTAGAGGTATCTTTAGAATGGACATAGATGAGTGTCCATTTGACAGACTTGGGGTTTGGGACATTACACTGTTTCATCTAGTCCCACATTTTTGGTCTTCTCAAAAGTTGTCTTTTATGCTCTAGTGAAATAGCTCAGTGGCTTAGACACCTGGCTGGCAAACACAAGACCCTGAGTTTGAACCCTGGTACAGAAAAGTTGCCTTTTATATTCAGTTAGTTGGGAGAGTTAGAATTGGCTTGTGGCTTTGGGATTAAATGAAATTTGCATGATTCATAAAATAGTACTTCCAAGTCAATGTCTGATGGAATAGCTCAAATAAATATACATTTTGAGCTGGCAGTTTGTCTTCACTAATTCCCCTGGCCAGGTGATTTCCAAATCTCCATTCCACTTAATTTAGACAACTAATTATATCTGTGAAGGAATCATTTAATGAGGACCAACAATACAGACATCCTGGTTTTGACATCTCTAGGTTGACAGAGGAAGGTGTCGCCTTTTTTACAATGGAAATCCAGCTGAGGGTGCAGCAAACAGAATGCCTACTGGTCAAGGGTCAAGAAAACATCATCATGAACACCATCACATGAAACACAGTCCACTATTAGTAAGAACACAGTACAAGAAGAATAGGTAGCTATACAGAGCAGACTGATCTTGAAGGAGTAAGGCAGGTAGGGGAGGCCAGTCCAGACAAAAGAAACAGCATTAGCTCAGAATGCGTGGAGATAGCAAGTCAAGGTAGAAGATTCTCAGTGAAGATAGGGCAAAAAGAACAAGGATAGAGCTTAAATGGAGGTTCTCAAATGCCAGGATATACCTGTTTTCAAATTATATTGTATACTGTTATTTGAATCATAGATCACAGCCTAGTCAAAGCCTATGATTGGAAATTTATGAAAAGAACCATCCATAAGGGGACAATGAATACAGAGAAGAAATGGTTAAAATACCCACTATTTTCTTCTCTCTCTCTCTCTCTCTCTCTCTCTCTCTCTCTCTCTCTCTCTCTCATACACACACACACACACACACACACACACACGTGCACACATGCACGCAGGCATGCACAAATACAATTTATTTCTAGCAAACTGTTGCTGACTTACCGTCCACCAGACCATATCTCGACCAGCCAAGAAGAAGCCTCCAACACTGCTCCGGTTTGTCCTCAGTGCAGCCTGAGCAGAAAGGAAGACATGGGGGTGGGGATGAATAAACCAGAGCACTCACTCAGAGCCCAGAGATTCTGACTTCTAGCTGGCATGCTGACGATGGTGATTCTGCAGCACTCCTATAGATACTAATATTTTCTAAAAACTGCAATGCAGCACCAATTTTCACTGAACTGAAAAACGTGGTTATTAAAAAATTTAGAGCTGAAAGGACTTCAAGAAATCATACTCTGCAAAACCTCTGTTTATTTTCATGTATGAAAACAAGGTGACGTCACTAGGACAGTGCTTAGATGGAAATTGCAGCTTTGAGTTCATTACTAAAAGAGAAAAATGAATGGAGCACAAATGATTTGTGTTCAGTTCATGTTAGAAAATCAGTAAACAGAGGGAATTAAACAAAATGAGATCATGAAAACAGTTTTGGACATTGTGGCAGGTGGTGGAGATGCCCAGTTTCACAGGTTTGTAGTTCCCAGTTCTGTCTGTGCTCAATTATGGGGTTGCCAGGAGAATAAATTCACTCATTACAAAAATTATGTATGACACACATAAGAGAATGATTCAAACAGACAAATAATAACACTGACACTTTTAGAAACTGTTAATGTCTCATTTTGTCAGGTTACTGTTCTCCCATCATTAAGCTTTTTGCCCTAACCCTGGTGCCCACCCTGAAACTTCCCTGAGCTCCCACATACCCATAGTCCAACAGCCATCACCGCCAAAAAGTAGATGACAATGACAGAGATGTCAGCAGCATTTTGGATGCGCTGTGACAGTGCAGGCAGCTCAGGGGTTCCAGCTGTTGTACTGGGGCTTACTGTGCTGGCCATAGCTGCAGGTGGTACAGTCCTCATCCCAAGGATGGCCACTTCTTTATGTAAGTGCTGGGTTAATGATCAACGTTAGGCAGGTGGGGCAAGCTATCACCTGTGCATCAGGACCTTACAACTTTTCCCTTTGGATCCAAGCTGTGACACCCTGATCTTGCAGTGGTTAGCGTTCCTGTAAGTGTACAGTGAGAATGACAGTGATAACCAAAAAAGGTGCCACACTCACAAGTGAATTGTGGTGTGTTCATTGAGTGGAAAGAAAAATATTTAATTGGAATTGGGGTAGTTCCTCTGAGAAGTAGGGAGATTCATAGGGAAAGAGAGGTACAGAGGTAAAGGTCCAGAAAAGGATTAGGAGGAGGAGAGGGCGATAGTTTCTCACAACACAGATAACATTCTTGACCAAAATGTTTTTATTCTTTGCAAATCAAATTAATTAATCACTTAAAGCTTTCTAAAGTCATGTATATATCTGAGACAAGTCATCTAGGGGACTCTGTGATGTACTCCAAGACCATGGGTGGTTATGCAATAAAGGGAAACAACTTTACAAGCAATATAACATAAAATATATATACATAAAAATTAGCTTTGAACCATCTTAAATGTGTAATTCAGTGTCATTAAGTACATTTACAATGTGGGGCAATGAACTCTACCTTGCCTTTTCAGAAATATTAAAAAATTAATAAATGAGAAAAATGCTATTATTTGTCCTATATAGAACATTTATAATATATAACTGTCAAGTTAGCCTCATGGTGAGATAGGAACAGTGTGGAAAATAACAAACAGAGAACTCTAATATTTCCTAAGAAATATTAAGAGGTTATGCATGAACTACCCCATTTCCCTATGTAGTAAATGATGTTTCTCTGTCCCTGCCTTTTCACCCTTTGCAATCACTATTCAACTATCTACACTTTAAAATCTATTCTCAGTACCACATACAGGTGTAATCACACAATATTTATCATTTTTGTCCAATTTATTTCACTTAGCAAGATGTTTTCATGGTTCACTCACCCTGTGGAATGTGTCAATGTTCTCTTTTTCAAAGAAAAAATGTTTTGTTTTTGCTAGTTTATATTACATAATGGTTAAGGTTAATTAATGTAAAATTGCATGCATTTATCATAGCTTACTCATCTGTCAGTGGATATTTGGGTTATTAGATTTTTGTTAGGACAGCAAAATATCAATATGAACTCACTCCATAAGAATGAGATTTCCTTTTACAGGGCTGGAGGCTGAAACTTCAAACAGCATAGTACAGTTTCAGGCCCTGTGTACAGAGTACATGGTGGAGTTGGGTTATAGCTAAGTAGTATAAGTGGTTGCCTAACAACGCACATGGTGGAGTTACGTAGAAGGAGAATCATGCCGAAAGAAAGAAAACAAAGAGGGGACAAGGAGTCAGATTTTTCCCATTTCATAACAACTCTGTCCTAAGAAATATTAAGAGGTTATGTGTGAACTACCCCATTTCCCTATGTGATTTGAGTAGTTTCTACCAGGTACCATGTCTTGAAGTTTCCACAGCCCAATAGCTCCATCTGGGAATGAGCCTCTACTCACCTAGGTGAACTCACAATCTATACCCAAACCATACCTGGTTGCTTTGGCCATTTGTTGTTAGAAAAAATTCTGTTACAAGCTTTGGTGTCTGGGAATCTGTTTGAATGTCTGCTTTCAGATCTTGTGGGTACACAGTTGGACCATATGACACTTGTGTTTTATACTGTCTAGGAAATATACCAACATGTTTTCATAGCAGCTATACTACTTTTCATTACCACTAGTGATACATAAGGGTTTAATTTTTCTGCATCCTTGCCAACACACCTACTTTTATCCAAAAATTATGCCCATCTTGGCAAGTATGAAGTAATATTGTTGTTTTTATTTTAATTTCTAATGCAGTATGTAATTATGTTGATCAACTTTGGATGTAGTATCAGGCATTTGTATACATTTTTGGAGAAACATTTATTTAAAGCTTGTGTCTATTATGAAATCAGATTGCTTGCTTTTGTTTTATCTATTTTTAAGTTTTTCCTTGTGTTTTTGTGATCATATGCCAAATGAAATAATGGCAATTTAATAAAGTAATTGTTAAATCCAGTGTCATGATGGAGTTTATAGCAGCAAGATGGTTGACTACAAGAGCTCATTGGGCTTTGCCTCTCTCTCTCTTCTCTCTCTCTTTCTCTCTCTCTCTCTCCACATACACACATGTGCATGTGTGCATGTGTGCACACATACACACACACACACACACACACAAGGACTAGCAAAGAAAAATTAATACCTATTTCGCTGTAGTATTTGAGGCAGAATGCTTGAGTACAACGAAGTTGTGGGAGAGATTTTGCCAAGAATAGAAGAATAGAAACTTACAATGGTTTTTATCAAGAAGAGAACTAAGTGCCCATTCTCTACTCTCTTATCTCTCTATGTAAAAGATTAACTCTGAACCAAGAACTTTGCACACTGGGGAAAGCATAGGCAGGAGGTGCATAGAAGAACCCACTAATGTCATACTTACTTGACAATTTTCTGGTAGAGAAACTTGCCACTCTTACAAGGCATGACACAGTTTGGGGAGCTATCAAGGAATGCATATTGCTTAATTGCACTATAGGAAGATACTAGCTCACATTGTGCCATGCCCTACTTGGGCTCCTTAAGGTCACTTTCCTGAGATCACTTCTGCTAAAAATTCTGTGAAGCAACCCAGAAGTTACTCCCAAAATTTCAGGTGACTGGATTCTATGATCCATATTAGACACTGCCACCCCAATTCCATGCCACTGCTCCACAATTTTCAGTGGCCATGCCTACTCTAGTGGCACCAGGAAACAGCCCATGCTTACACTTTATTGAACTGTATTCACTAATGCTCAAGGAAGAAAAAAGATGGTCTTACATACTTATCCTTTGTCCCATGAAGTTTCCAGAGTGGTCTCCCTGGGTGGCTTGACTTGTGAATGTCCTATGAACACCCAGGTGGCACTACTCACATATGAACAGAACTAGGAAGCAGCCAGGCAGCATTCTTTGTGTGACTGAGCCTAATGACACCCCACAAAAGAGGTGGGCATCACCAACCACCTACATTTAGCCATGGGAAGGAGACAGGCACCCCAAGAAGCTGTCTTGACCTATTATTGATGTGAGAGGTGGCTAAGTGTCTCTCCCACCACTGATTTTCCATCAGAAAACATCTAGGCAGCATACCTTGAACAATATGTACTCCAAAGGCCACAGAAAGTATCCAGATAGTCTTCAGCAAGTGAAGGTACCCCACCTCCATTACTGGGCAAGTTGTATAGCACAAAACTGAACCTGAAAGAAGAGCCCTGTGCCTGCATAGAGTTTGGGCATTTTTCACTCCCCACCCAAACAATCCAGCTGTCATGCTCAGAGTCATAGCAGTTTTTTTATGTACAAAAGATATACTTCATCTTACAGAACAATAGCACAAGCCCTTGTAGACTGGAATACCTATAGGCATCATCAATGTTGCTAAAGCTGAAGAAATTTGATGTGACATGTCATTGAGTTACTCCCAAAACTATTTCAGCTTTTCCAACTGATGTCTTGGGAGACATCTCGAGGAGAAATCCTTTTACTATTAAAACTTCTACAAAATCAGTAGGAGTGCCTGACTCACCACATTAGCCAATATCAGAGTCAGAACATAAGACACTTGAAAAGCAACATAGCATGATGCCTCCAAGAGAATATGCTACTTCTCCACAAAAAAAAAAAAAATCAAAAATTGAAGACTCCAAGAAATGATTTTATGAGAAATTAGCAAAAGAGAATGCAAATATTTCAACTAAAGCAGGAAAACAATTTGTTCTCTGAATGAAAATTTAGCTGTTAGAGATATAAGACATTATAGAGCAATTATGTATAGAAATTATACAGTAATTATATATCTAAGAAAATTAAGATATATATGAAAGGCTTTGAATGCTCTCAAGGAAAAAGAAAACATTTAAATTACTGTGCATTCCAGAAAGGGTAAGAAAGGCAAGATGAATAGAAAACCTACTCAATGAAGTAACTTCTGAAAACTTATGAAATCTCAGAAGAGCTGTATGTAGAGAAATCCATGAAGCGCAAAGAACCACAACGGATTGAACTTTGTGTTATTAATGTTAATACATGAGTATTTTTTT